GTCTTGAGGGCGCGGCGGAAGGTTAAGAGATCCGGAATCGTCCGGATCTCGGGGGGTAGTTCGTTCCAGAGGGTGGGGGCACCCACAGAGAAGGCCCTCCCCCTGGGGGTCGCCAGCCGACATTGCTTGGCCGACGGCACCCTGAGGAGGCCCGCTCTGTGGGAGCGTACCGGCCTGTGGGAGGGAATCTGCGGCAGGAACCGCGGAACCGCGGAACCGCGTTCCGGCACCTTTTTCCGGGCCGGCCGCACCGGAAATAGCCCCTCCCAAATTTTACTTGCATTCCTGTTCTCTAAAGGGGCGGTCCTAGGGTTTGATGAGGGCGTGGCCAGGTTTGAGTTCCGCCACCTTTTCTCCGAGAAAAAAAGCCCTGCCTAAGTGTAAACCTTAACTTTTCTCTACGTTAAAATTTATTTCATAGGACTCAAAAGTATTGTACATGCACTCTCTCCTCTTTTTTTTTTTTTTTAACAGCAATTCTTTTTCAGACCTTCAGAGAGCTGGATATTGAACTCCACCAGGAATGCACATATGATCACCTAGAGGTTTACAATGGAAAAGATGCTAAAGCTCCTGTTCTGGGACGATTTTGTGGATCTAAAGAACCGGATCCTATCCTCTCTACTAGCAACAGGATGTTCCTCAGATTTTTTTCAGACAACTCGATTCAAAAGAAAGGCTTTGAGGCGGCCTACACATCAGGTAAGCCTCAGTGCTGGCTCGTTATTCAATTTTGGCAGTACTCAAAACAGAATTGTAGTGAGGAAAATGCTTCTAAAGCTGAGAGATGCCTCCATCACAGCTCAAAGTTGTTAGTAGATCAGGACTGCTACCTTTCATCCTTCCCCATAATAAATGCATAAATCTTTGGGGAGCCTCTTTGTGGAATTACATTACATTTTAAGGAGATGTTGCATTCTTCAGTTTCCCTTCATAATGTTAAGAAAACTGAGATGCATTAATTTGACCAGCAGGGCTTTGAGCACATGAGAATACTAACAATTGACAGATAACTACCTTTAAAAAAAAAGGACAGATATAGAAGTTAGGAAAGATTACTGGTTTAAATCTTTCCTGCCAATCAAAGCAGAAAACAATTGTGGAATAGTTGTTCTTGTTCCAGTATGAGGCTTTGCTCACAATGTCTCATACTGTCACAACTTCTTGACTGGATCACTGCAATGGGTCTACATAGGGCTGCCCTTAAAGAGCGTTTGGAAGCTTCAGCTGAATGTGGGTGCAAAGGTAGTAGATGGTGACACACATAACACCACTGCTTACATGTGTAGATGTTAGATAGTAGATATTTGACACATGTAATGCCACTACTACATGAGTTGCATCGACTGCCAGTATGTTTCTGAAGGGAATTTAAGATGCTGATTGTCATCTTGAAAGCTTTTCATGACTTGAGACTGGTTACCCAAGAGATCATCTTCTCCTGGGTATTTCTGCTGTCCAGTTCAGTCCAACAGGGCATGTTATGGGTTCCATTAGTCAAGGAATATCGACTGGTGGAGACTAGGAGATGTGCCTTCTCTATCATAGCCCCCTCCCTCAGGAACATTCTCTCTTCAGAGATCAAGAGGACCCTGACTCGGCTGGCCTTTCGTAAAACTGTGAAGACCTGATGGGGCCTGAGTGTGTTATGGGCTCCACTTCTCGTCTATATTAATATGTACGGCAATTATTTTACTTGGCAACCATATACGGTATTACTTTTATACTGTTTTGTTTTAATTGTCTTGTGTTTTTATGAAGTACACTGCCCAGAATCGCTGGCTGAGATGAGCAGCTATAGAAATCAACTATTCAACAAATAAATAAGCCAGGTTCCCCTACTTCTAGTCATTTTTCCCCCATTAGGAAAAATCTAGAACTTGTATTCATGTAGTTAGAAGACTCATCTATTGCACTGCATGCTCACCAGGAAGGGACCGTCTTCTTTCGTGGTGTGTAGACTTCTGTCCTTTCCCTCTAACCCAATTCTGGGTTCACCAAGGTCCCTAACTTACGTTTGTGTATTTTGTTGTTTCCAGAGTGTGGGGGCCAGGTGCGAGCTGAAGTGAAAACCAAGGATCTCTATTCCCACGCGCAATTTGGGGACAACAACTATCCTGGGGGTTCCGATTGTGAATGGGTGATTGTGGCTGAGGAAGGCTATGGGGTTGAACTCATCTTCCAAACGTTTGAGATTGAGGAAGAGGCTGACTGTGGTTATGACTACATGGAGCTGTTTGATGGCTATGATGGGACAGCTCCACGTCTTGGACGTTACTGTGGCTCTGGGGTGAGATATTTTATATTGCGTA